CATCGACGCCGCCGAGCTCCTCCACCGTCGCCGTCGATCTCCTCCACCGTCGCCGTCGAGGTCAGTCCTTCTTCATATAACTTAGCTTTTTTAGACTATATTAACTGAGACTAACAAAGTGTAAACTAGCTACATCTGAAACGCTGCTATATATATGGATCGCTGCTATATATATGGATCACCTTAATTAGCTGAGAACAAAAGGTGGGTTGTACCCAAGATCAAGCATCTCACCTTCTTCAGTAGAGATTTTAAAATCTATGGGAGAATATTAGAACATAGTGCAACACAAATTCAGAGGTGTCCAGTGCCTAGTAACTCTGACGATTATTAGCACACCCCCCCACCCCACCCCACCCCACCCCAAAAAAATAATAATAAATAAATAAATAAATAAATAATAAAAAAAAGGAAAAAGAACTCCCCAACCAAAGATTAAAAAACCTGAACAAATTATGCTTAAGGGCGCTGCTCTTCTACTATAGAACCTTTCTCGCTTTGCGAGTGGTATGAACACAAAGCTCAGTTAACCAACAGCTTAAATAAATGGATTATCTTACAGGCGATGATTGAATTTGAAGCTGGAATATCCTCAACTGTAGCAGTAGCCCAAATATCTATGCCCTCTGGTGAGCAGAAAGGTACAGATTTGCTGATGAGTTGGATGGCAAGTTTAAGGGGAAAAAAAGAACTCAGTGCAATACCTTACTAACTCCCTTCACTGGAACTCTTCCAACCCTGCAAAGACTAGATACGTCATTTGAAAGCAGGGAATCTAGGTTAAGCTGCGCATAGCGAAGGCGAAGAAGGTGGGGATGTTTGAATAGGCATCATTTGGCTTGATTCTTTTGTCAATAGGAGGTAATATTGTTCTCTGGAAAACGAGCTTCATGTTAGTAGATCTTGTTACTGTCCGTATATGATGTATTTCCTTTTTTTCTGAAGGCCTTAGAAAACAGTCTGTATATTAAAACTCTTGATGATCTTAGTGGAATGCAAGTATTGTACTTAGCACTGTAACCTTTCAAAATACGAACAGAAATAAGAATGTGGTTTATCATTTTCAGATTGTCTCAAAAAATTTTGATCTTTGCAAACAGAATAGTGAGTATGTTGTTTGGTAATTATCACTTCTCATACTAGTTTGGCTTGTACACATTTTCTACTTTGGTTAAATTAATGGGATGTTAATGCATAGTACCTATATCGAAATTCAGAGAGAAAAATATGACAGGAAATAAGTGAAAGCTCACTAATAGCATCCAATGATCAACTCGATTTGTTGTGTTCTCATCCAAATTCTCTACAGTCTCGAAGGATCACAGAATTTCTCCTTGGTTCTGCTCTTGCAACTTGACCTTTTTATTCATACTTATGTTGGCAAAGGAATTTGGCGTAAATTCAATCATCCTGGCTTGGATTTTCGCAAGAACTCAGACGACTGATAATGTTCAAATTGACAGTAACTGGTCATAAAACATGCTCAAATCTTGCATGACGGTAGTCATACCTCGTTGCCTAACCTCAATTTTGAGATGGAAGATGATGATATATTTCCCTAAGCTTTTCCAAAATAAAATCCTTCAACTTCCTTTTATGACATTAACTGAATCATCAAAAACCACAAAACTTGTGCCAACAACATACGTTTGTAAAACTAGCTAAGAAACAAATACAAGAAATAAATGAAGAAAAGATTCTTGACAGTATTGTGGAGGAGAGTTGCAAGTAGCACTGAATTGGCCTATTTTTGCAACTTTCTTATCCTAATAAAATCTTGGCTGCTATTATGAATAGAAAACGTATGTCCTCTCGTATATGGCATTATATATAGAAGACCTAGAAGACTGAAACTTTGGAAGAAAAGTACAAAGGAAGCCAATCCATAAGCTACAAACAAAAGCTTCAACTCATTCCTTGTGATTTCAGTTTCTGCTTGTCTAACATGAACCTTCATATTTCATTTTCCTTCACTTGTTTTCCTATTCTGGTCAATCTCCATGCCTTGATCTCCAAGTTTCGAATATTGCAGGAAAAAAAAAAGCTTAATGTCTTAATCATGGCCTCTGAATCGTCTGTAATAAGCCATTAAACTGAACTGGACGGCTCACTATTCAAACTTACCTAGTATAGTTACAATTTCTAAGAAATTTGCTTGGTAACATAATACGCCATATGTGAATATGCTGATCAAGATTAGTAGTATATGTAACCAAGGGCTTGTACTTGTACTTGTACCCTACAAAAAACCAACAATAGAAACCTCTGCTTCTTATACTCAACTGTTTTGATGTTACCAGGTATGTGAGTTTGCTTTTTCTTGAAAAATCATCCTACTGATCTTCTACATAGTTAAACTTGTGATACGGAAAATTTTAGTTAGGTTTTGCTTTCTCTTGACCTTGTAGACATGCTTCTTCTCGATACTACATCCAGCCAAAATGGTAAACTTGCAAACATACTTCTATTTGAGGGAAGGGGAAAAAAACAGTTTTACGCATTTCATACGGAATTACAGATTATTTTGGACGTAAAGATATTGCCTAATGTTTTTTCTTGTATCCATATAATATGTAAATCAATAATCTTAACTGGAAGAACTACATGGAGTAATTTTATACAGGATCAAATCAATTACGTATCTTAACTCTTAATATGTGAGCCAACGATTTCATCGTTATGGCTCTAAATGAAAAGCAAGTAGTCTTTCAGGGATAGATTAGCTTGCTTTATCCTAGCGGTTAATTCTAAACTGATTATATGGGATACCTTAATGTAATCTCATTAAATTATGGAATATCTGAAGTCTTGAGCAACATCAAGGGTTTTTAAGTTTTGCTTCCTGATTGTGATCAGTTATATATTTTTCCTCTAGAACTCTCTAACATACATTTCTCAAAATCTTGTAACCATTTAATCCTTCTGTCATCAAAATGTCTGCACTTTGAATGTCCTTTTGATGTTTTTTTTTTGTTTTTTTTTTTTTTTTGTTTTTGCAGTAACTGCCAACAGAGTTATGCTGCTCTTGATGCATTCAGCGAGAACAAGTCATAATTTTTTTAGTGTATTCTAATATTGTTGGTCAAGTAGGCCATTTTCTTGCTCAAACGTTGAGCTCTAAATCACTAAATACAGCCTACTGAACTTGTTACATGAACATGAGTTGCTATAACGGAAGGACCCTTGATGATATTACAGGCAAATTTCTTCCTACTGACTATTTTTCAGCTATGGAGCCATACTTTAATGAACTTGAATCTTATCAACAGATTTCTAATCCTTTCATTCTCTCTTCAATTCATCAAGATAATCTAAGCCTTCTCTACAATGCAAACGACTCAAACTTTCAATCAACATGTTCTGCAAATTTGGCAGACGTTATTCCTTCTCAATCTTCCATGTTCCCCATCAACATGCAAGAACAATACCCATCAACTGGTGACATTCATAATCAAGAGCCTACAAGCAAAAATTTTGAGTCTATTTTGCTCAATGATGATACAAGCTACAAGCTGGATGAAAGTTTTGATTCCGATGTAGTTATGGACGCTCTCCTATCAGACACAGTGAATCAATCAAGTGAAACTCACTATATGAATGTAGTAAGTGATCGATCCATGATATCAATCTAACAATGTATTACAATGAAAATATAATATCTCCTTGACATTATATTATTGAAGTCCTTTTCATTTTTTACTGCAGGAAATCAATGAAGCAAACTTAGAGGCTGAAAAGTTTTTATCTCCCTTTGAGTTATCTAAGATACATACCTTCTCTCAAAAAGAGTTACCTAACATACGTAGAGTTGAAGTTGCCAAGCCAAGAATGCGATGGACTCCAGAACTACACGAACGCTTTGTACAGGCTATCAATCAACTCGGTGGTCCTGATAGTGAGTGATACAACTCTCACATAGAACAAGTTCAAAGTTTGCAAATTGATTTATTGAAATATTTATTCCAAAATGCAGGAACAACACCGAGGAGCATTCTCATAAAAATGGGCATTGACGGAATAACTGTAGATCATGTCAAAAGTCACCTGCAGGTATTTTCCACTCTATGGCATTTTCTATAACAACCCTTTCACGTTGGTATGTTATTTAGTTATAGATAATATGATCATAATATAATGAGTCTAATGCGGTTTTTTTAAAAATAATTAGTCTAATGTCAACTATTTGCAGAAATATCGTCTTGCAAAATATCAACCAGAAGCTAAACAAGGTAAGCCTTCAGAATTCCTGCAATTTGATTTGTAATGAAAAGCTAGCTAACGAGGACAACATAGCATTTAATTTGCTTATTATTCGTAGCCAATTACGTTATATGTGCATTAACTATACAAATATGTAGACAGAGTAGGATCATATTTATAGAAACTTATGCTATAGAGGTACCTTATCAATGCTCCTATGCTACAGCGAGCAAATACTTGTTAGTGACTTTGTCAAAATTTGCCCAGATAAGAGGGTTTCTTGCTTAGAAGGAAAGAAAAGGAATTCAAATGAGAAGGACAACAAAGTCTCAAAACTGTAAGTGTACATATCATAAATTCTCTCTTAGCTGTCTGTATGATTTCATCCGTCTCTTATGATTTCATCTCATCATATAGCAGCTATAAATTCTCTTCTCTAACTCTCAGTAATCTCATAATATGGCATTTAATACACTTCTTCGTCCCATGACAACACTTTTATTTAATTAGACTTCTACACTTTCTTTTCAATTATTTGTCACAGACCTGATGCTCATATTTGACTTAGTTTATATGAGAATGCCATCATCTCAGCACATCTTCCCCTGATATATATAGGTCAAGTGAAGAATTGGGAATGCTTCAAACACAATGGCAGCTTCAAAAGACACTTCATGATCAACTTAAGGTCTTACTCCTCTCAGACTATAATATCACCTGCATCCAATTTTGTGAAAATCCAATTTTGGTAAAAAAAAAATTCTGCACAGATTACAAGGGAATTGCATCTGCAAACCAAAGAAAATGCCAGGCGATTTCAAGAGTTTGTCGAAAATCAAAGTAAGCTGCAAGAGGCATTCATGCAGGCAACTCAGTCATTGTCTTCAACATATACTTCAGTGGATGATGGACTTCTCAATCATAACCATACAGACGAAAGTTGCTTTGTGGAGTCAAATGGCCTGCGGTTGGCCAAAAAGGCAAGGTTTAATTAAAAGAAGATACTCAGAGCGTCAGCGTTGCCGTTTAAGCAATGATTACGTCATGCAGCCTGAGTTGATAATCCAGTGTACGTAAATGCGTTCTGATTTGTACAGGTGTTCAACTAGAGTACACGTGAGTTAAGACACTAGCTTTAAAGATACAGCCTTTTCATCTTAGAAGAAATTTATATTAATTATATTAATGTAAAATTCTATTTGTTCATTGCATTACTTATGATATACTATGCATATCTCATTATATGCGCAACTATCGCAAAATAGGACATTATTGGAATGGAGCTAATATTTGTAAACAAATTATCTCAAACCTGGTAAACTCTGTCAGTTTGAAACTCCTTCTTCTATAATCTGTACCGGATGAGGGAATCTAATAATGGAAAAATCATTTAGAGTTTTCTCATAAAATGGCGGAACAATGTAATTCCATCTAATTTACATCAAATAAGAAGCAAAACAAATGAGACATTAGTCTTGGTTACACAGTGTGCATTTTTTGTTATTGAAACAGATACTTATTGTCGCTGAACATTATATACTATCCATTTGAATCCTCCCCCTCCCAAGTCTGACACAGTTCACATAATCTCTAGGGCTATGTGCTGATACTCCAGGCATAAACAACCCAAAAACCCTAATAAATATCGAAAACCAGCCCTCCTCATACTCTGGCCCGTAAACATGACTAATCATCAAGCATCTGATAAGCTCCCAAACAGCGTTGAGGTGTTCTGGAATCAGGTATCTCAACCCAAAGTAGTTCCTGTTCGGCTCTTCTTCCACATTCTGAAGAAAAAATACACGAGAATAGATAAGATACAACAATCATAGAGTAGCTAAGCTACTACTGATAGTATCCAAGATGCTAATACTATAGATCCAAAATTAAATTTGGATTTCTGAATTGAACAACTATGCCGTTAAGATAATTAGATGCCATCAACTACAGATCAAATATCAGAAATAAAACTCAGATAATCACAATGTGTTTTAACCATGCATCTTATAGTCAACATTTTGGAGTTTTCATAAAACTGAAATTTCTTATAGATTGATATATGATTGAAACCATGCTGAAATCAATGGGAGTTTTGTTTCTGTTTAGCTCACGTCTCTGACATGGTACAGATTTTCAATTCAGAAATCAAAATTTTAAATTTGGATCTTTAATATCTGCATCTTGAATCCTATTAATAGAGGCCTAGCTCAACTAATGATTATATAGGAAAAAGGCAAAGCAGAAACAAAAAGATCATACCTGTTCAGAGTAGAGGCTATTGTAGTACAAACACAGGCCAAAGTGCTTGTACAAGAAAGTACTATCATCGTAGGGAAGCCGAGGCACAATATCGTTGCAATAGACCGCTCTAAAATACCTCGGCATGGGCTCACATAACTGAGCTTTCATGAAACTGACCAAATTCTCATCCCCAACCCTTGGCTGCCCAAATGTATAAATTGCCAGCAACCTCTTCATCAATTCATGTTCGTCATGTAACAATAAGACCACGGGGAATAGTATTGCAAGTGCACCACCCAAGCTATGTCCTGTAACGACGAACTTAGCATCCTTATGGTCATGGAGTAGACTCTCGAGTTTACTCTTGACAGCATAATAAGCAGTATCTTTGTTAGCCTGATTCTTGGGTTGGAGGTAGTTTTGAAAGGTGGAGATTTGAGCTCTATTGCCTAATCCAAGAGCCTCGAGGAATCCCATGTGGACCTTGCCTAGTTTTGGGATCTCATACCAGGAGTAATCGACATCTGTGCTCCAATCATCTGCATCAAATGGTTCGGTGCCTCTGAAGCTGATCAATACTAAAGTTGCATCCTTAGGTTTGTCAGAGAGGATGAAAACTTGAGTGGACCTCTTCTTCTGATAATCTATTGTAACAATAAAAAATGAAAGAAATATGACTTTTGATGGAGCAAGTGAATATAAAGTAAACCAGTCGATTGATAATTATCTCATATATAAAATGAGATTTATCCATTTTTTTGGCGTTAGACACTGAGATCTGGATGAGGTAGAATTGCATTAGACACACATAATTTAAAATTTGTGAAAGTAGTCGAAAAATTTTCTTCGAAATAGGAAACATAGCATGTAGTCGATGTTAAGCTTCAAAGAATATTTTGATTAAAGTTTGAGTCATAGTTAAAATTTATCTGCATGTACTTCACAGTCATAATATTAACCATAGTTTGAAGAGAATTCATCTTACCATTCCAACAATTGAAAAACTCCACAAAGTGCATCTGTTTGCGCGTTGCAATACCAAATGCCGAGGGTTAGTATATTTGATCAACTAAACTATGTGTGTGTGTGTGTGCGCGCGCGTTTATAATTGTAATAAGAAAACAACGAGAGACCTTCCAACGGTGGACAATGATGTTCTCTACAACATTAGCATTCTCATATGCGAGTTTGGAGGCTAAAATGCATAGGTCCATCAAAGCCCTGTCTCCACATTTGCCACCAGTGTCGAGACCAACTAAATTCAGAAAAGAAACTTCCCTGCAGAGATCAAGACGTGAATCCAAGTGCCCAATGGCACTGATATATGTATCTGAACCCCTTTCTGGCCTCACGACGTTCCCTGTCATGTCGAAACCTTCAACAGAGTTAGCGCAATTGCATATCGACCTTCTCTAAGACGATGATAAGGGATTTGATACTGAGATCAGTTTCTTAGGATTTGGAGCACTAGTTTAGGACTTACTATATCTCAACAAACTGCCCGATGGGACATTTTATTGTATAACCTTAACATCTAGTCCATAAGAGGCACATGCACAAAGTGCAAACATAGAAGAAGAGGCACATGCACATGCACAATCATAGTCTATAAATGAAGTAATCAAACCCAAATTAAAATTCTCCATTAGGAAAACATTTATCAGTATGAAAAGTGAATTCTACCTCATTGATTTAGTATGCAGGCACGACCACGGGGGTGTTCGGGAGAGCTTTTTTTTTTGTCAAACTAGCTTTTAAGCTAGTTTTTTCATATCCAATTATTTACTAAATCATCAATAAATAAGCTGGCTTATAAGTCTCATTTAAAAAAGTTGGGGTTCCCCAACTTTTGAAGAACTAACTTACAGGTTTATGTAAATAAGTTAGGTTTGACAAAGTAAATGACCCTTCTACCGGAACAACTTTTATAAGAATTATATCATAGAAGCCAAAAGCCCCTCAAAAGTCAGCATGACTTATATGCTCCAATAAATAAGCCCAAGTCTGCTAAAATCTCTATAAATAACAAAGTTTCTTGATCAAGAGAGAGGAAAGGCAAGGATACCTTTGATAAGATTGAGAAACAAGCCATAGATACCTCCATTGAGGTCCAAGAGATTCAACAAGAACTCAATCACCATCCCAGTCCCCTCCATTGGCTTCCCTAAGATGCCGATGATCCTGCGCATGATTACAGAGACCACGATTACCCACCTATGACCCCCCGAGTCCCACTCTCCTCCTCCATCACCATCAACCTCAGAGCTCTCTACAAACTCATGTACTCTTCCACCATTTAACACTAAAAGCTTCAAGAGATCCAATATACCACCCATCTCAGCCTTGACTATAAGGTACTTGGCCTCACATGTTTCTCCTTCTTCATTCTTTGTTTCATACTTGGCCATTCTCTCTCTCTCCTCTCTCTCTCTCTCTCTCTCTAAAAGAAAATTGTAGCTTTATAAAGAATGTTGTCAAGTAAAAGTAGCAGAAGTTAAGGGGGAAAGTGAAAAAGGGTGATGATGGCCTGTGGAATGGGCTGATGGATTTTTGTAACAGAAAGGAGAATTCTAGTTTTTGGTTTGGCTTAGATATAAGCTTTACTTCGGATTTAAGGCAGTGGTATGCTATGATTTACTAGATTTATTTTGTTGGGGGATTCTGGTAGCCAACTGCATGCTGTGTACTTTTTAGGTAGTTTTCTATAACTACGTACTTTGGGGTGATTTGTACAAATCTTTCTAAAATTTAAAAGAAAGAGAGGGTTTCTTTGAGAAAGATCTTTCAGTTTGAGAAACTTTTTGAGGGGTTAATTTCTCTGATATTGTCCAATTTAACTTTTCCATGTCCAATATGTCTAGGGGGTTTATTGGTTGGGACAAGTTGAGGCCAAGTGAGATAATTCCATTCCAATGGAACAATTTTATCCCTTTGGGATAATTTGAGTGGTTTAAATTTGGACAATTTAGGATAATGGGACAATTTAAAGCTTTGATTTAACAATTCATGTGGGATAATTGATGATGTGACAACTTATTAAAGTACAATATTTATCTATCAATTAAGTCTAAATTAATTTACCTAATTGGTTTAGTATATTATTTGGTATGTTATCATAATATAATACAATATTTCAATAATATAATATTTAATCAAATATTATAATATTTTGTTTAATTCAATATAATATTATTTAAAATATTAAATTATTATTAAAAATATAATATTTTATTTTATTTCATGATAATTACTATAATTTAAATAGATACTTGCATAACAATGACTCCTTATTAAAATATAGTATTTATAATAACCATAATATACTATTAATATGTTCAATATTATTAATTAAAAAATATTATTAAATAATATATTATATTATATTAATTTATATATATTATCATACTTTAATATGTAGTAGATTATTATAATTTTTATTGTAGACAATAAAATATTATTTAATATTTAATACCACAATATTGACATATATTTAAGATTATTTATTATATAATAACGTATAATAGAAAATAGTAAATTATTATATAATATAATTATATTAAAATTAATTAATATATTATATATTAATATATCAAGCACTATATTATAATATAATTTTTTATATTATAAAAATACTACAATAATATTTTTATTCTAACTAATAAAATATATATTAAATAATATAAAATAATATTATAATATATGAAACGTTATTAACCAATATGTAATAATGATATATAATAATGTTATATCAGATAATATTATATAATATTTTATTATCTTACGTTATAATAGAATTTTATAATATAATATAATTAAGATATATTATATATGTTGATGTTAAATATCACATAACCAATTATATCCGTGTTTGGATGAATTTGTTGAGGATTGATGAAGGAAGATGGAGGGCCCGCTCCCTTCTCCAACTTTATACCTAGTTTTTGAATGAGGGCTTGATGTCCACGCTGCACAGACAAGAAAGACTCGTGAGAGGGTGGAGACCGGTTCCCCCGTGGTTCCTCCGACGGTCAAGTTAATGAAACTCGAGTGGGGAAGGGGAAGGTTAAGAACCAATGTGGTTCTTGAAGGGCAATGTGCATGCCGAGAGGATTTGCGTGAGCTCCTCTGTCTAGATGAAGAACTGTGTCCTCTTGTTTTTTTAGAGTCAGCGTGACAGAGGAAGTGAGGTCACCTTTCTTTGAGATTTTTTCTTTCTCTTTTGAGGTGACAGGAGGCACGCTGACATGCTGAACAATCCCTCGCTTTACAGTTATCGGCTGTCAACTGGAGAGGAAGTCATTTCAGCACGGGGGAGGATGTCTTCGTATTTTCTGGGAAGTGATTGAGAGTATGGCAGGAGGCACAAAAATCTGGATAAGGCTTGTCCGAGGTGGACTGAAATTTTAACATATGCTCTGGGGGAGAGGCTTGAGGCCGAGATTGAGTCCTCGACTTAGCCGACAGTAGGGAATGTTCCTCAAGTTGTCCTCGAGAATTGTCCAGTGAGTGGTCGAGTTCCCTAAGTAGGCTCGTTCTCGACGATAGGGTCGACTGATTCCGCCTTTCGTGTCGTCATGAAAGAATGTCGACTTGCAGAGTCGGCGTGGTCGAGACATCTATTGGGCTTAGGCCACTTAAGTGGGTTGAGGTTATTTTGCTAGGACTTATATTGTATCATTTTGCAAATACACGTATATTGGGTTAGTGAACACCATAACAGTTAGCCCCTTTCGTTTGGAGTCGACTTTTAGTCGGCTCCAAGAGAAAGAAGATATGTTTTGATCAATACAAGCCTGTTGGGGACGAAAAAATAAGAAGTCTTTGTCTTAGAGACGTGGCTGTCATTATCGGGCACCCATTATTGACTCCACTTTTTATGGCTGACGTTATCAAAGATTTGAACCGTCTTTTTGGGAGACGAAGTGTCATAGACATAATGGAGGATCTTCCACTTTTCGAGTATTGGAACGTGGAGCATTAAATAAGGGTGACGCTTCGTGTTTCAAGTGAACCGCTTCAGTTTCCGAAGCGGATCTGGATTGGTTGCTTCGAAAATCACCGCGTCCTTTGAAATCCTTCTATACTCTTCCTTTGAAAGCTTATAAATGGACTCTTGATGTTAAGATAATTATTTTACGAACCTTCGCTCTGACAAATTCCTGATATTCTTCCAAGTTTTTTAAGAAAAAGTCTTCCATGGCCTCTCAAGTTTTAAATTCTGGCCGTAGTGAGGAGAGACTCACTATTCTTCTACTTATCCGCTCGAAGGTACATATGGACAATCTAGTGGGGTTGTATGATCAATACAATATCTCTCGAACTCTCACCTTGGTGGCGTCATAGATGAGAGAGTCAGTGTATTGTCATGGCAAGGGTCGAGTGCCGTTGTACTTAGCCTACTTGGAGCATGGCTTACGTCTGCCCTTACACCCTTTTATTAAGGAGGTGCACACCGCTCTAGGAGTCTCCCCTTCCCAGTTCTATCCGAATGCAGTGGGGGTTCTGATGGCTTTTATCCTCATTTGCCACCTTGTTGGAGTCCAACCAAGCTTGAGATTGCTTGGGCATTTGATCAGCAAGGGGTCGAATGAGAAGGACATGTATTACTCCTACCACTATCGTGGTGAGTTCCAGCTTGTCTCGGATTCGTTAGAGTTGGATGAGGACCGGAGGAGGCGGTTCATGTGGGTCTATGATGGTGACATCGTCTTCTCCTGTTCGGGCTGGCCGGAGGCGAATGAAGACGCTTTGAGGCTAGTTACCCTTAGTGATTCTGAGATGATGGATCTAGAAAAGGCCGGTTCTTATGCCGGGCTACGGGAGAGTGATGCTCTATTTGATGATGCGTCTCACCAAACGGTGGACATATCCATGATTTTGTCCTCTACTGGCTTCCAGGCAAGGGCGAGCCACGTTCCTCTGTTGGCGGAAAATCGTAAGAGGAATGCAGGGACCGAGGGGTTGAGTTCCACTGCTAGGCCCCATAAGAAGGTGAGGGGGGGGCTTCAGCACTGAGGAGGTGGCTGTCTTGATACCTCAAGCAACTAAAAATTTCTCTGAATTGAGGGGGAGGACAATGGTCGAGAGGCGGCATCCAATCGGATCGGTTGTAGGGTCCCAACCAACTGGGACGGGTCCGTTGGTAAATCAGCTTAATCGCTTAGAAAATGTGGGGCGGATAGACGAGTCTTCTCCTGGCATGGAGACAACGATCCTAACAGTCGAGGAGGATGTCGTAGGCCCCAGTACTATTCCTGAGGCGTCTTGTCATCCTGGCAAGGAGCCGATTAGGGTGGACAATGACGTCGAGGGGAGAGCTGAAACTCCGTCAGACCGGATGGAGAATGGTGCTGACGGGAAGATTTTGGATGATATGCCAAGTGTTGGCATACACCAAGCTCTCCAAGCTTGTTTAGCTCGAGGGACTTTGCTGGAGAACGCCATGTTCAATCGACTTGAGCGTTCCCTTGAATGCCAAGCAGGGCTGGCAAAGGAGAAGTCAGCCAAAGAAGAGGTAGAGAAGAGGATCACTGTCTTGGAGGCCAAATTGGCTCACAAAGAAGACGCTTGGCGCCGGAGTCTGGATAAGAAGGAAGAGCTCCTCAAGAACTTTCGAATCCAGTTCTCCAAGCAGGTGGGGACCATCGAGGACCTTCAAAGGGAGATGGTTCATCTATAGGTGGAGGTCGAGTTCGAGAAGTGTCGCAGAACGACGGCTGAGGCGGAGGCTCGATCAAGTCGCCTATCTCTCGAGAAGACGAGGAAGGACTTTGAAGAACTGCAATCGAAGCTTCAGGCGTCCACGGCCCTTATCAAAAAAACTGGAGGACAAACTGGTTCATCTGGATTCGGAGCAGTATAAAAAGAAGGTGGTTGATGACTAACTTCATGGTTCTATAGGGAAAGCCGAGGTGGCCTTAGCATGTAAGGCTGGGGTCGACTACTTCGCTTCTCTAGTGCCTCACAACTCTCATCCTACTCTAGATCGCTTCTATCCTTCCTGCGTCTCCTGCTGTCTCGATTTGTTGAAAGATGTCGAGTGGAGGCGGGTTAGATTTATCAGCGAGTGACGATGAGGTCGAGCCTGTTGCTGGGGTTCCTGAGGAATCTTCTGCAACTGCTACCACCAGGAGACCGCCAAGTACAACTCCCGAATCTGATCGAGAGCTTTGAAGACCTGCATGTCTCTTTTTTTTGTAGAGAAGTTTGTAATGAAGTTAATCTTATTGAATAAAAATCAAATTTTGTTTCCATTCTTGAGCTTGCCTTCATCATTTATATTCTTTTAGCTATGTATCTTTGTTCTTGTCTGAAATGTTGGCTGAAGTGAGTTAATTATAATGTGTCGACCCGTGCTGGGGACTTATGACAACTAGTTCATCTGATGCCTTAGTTTTGCTAAGCGTTTAATTGATCAGAATTTGACAAATGATTGCTTAAGTTTTTAGATCAATTAAGTATTGGCTATACACTTAATATTCATACCTTAGGTTTATGAATACCTTTTAGCAGAGTGGCAACCCTGAGGTTGGGTGCCTAGGTATTCATAATCCTCGTATGGTCGAGTGGCGAATGTGAGAGTCGACTATAGGGTTATGCCTTGAGTTTATTTCTGAGAAGGTACCAAGGGCTTGGAATTCGACTGAAGAATCGAATGCCCAGAACTCTTGAGAGTTGATTAGGTCTTTCCTTCCCCTAAGGCTGAGAGATGACAGTGGGAGTCGGTCAAATGGTTGTGCCTTGGGTTTATTCCTGATAAGATACCAAGGGCTTGAAATTCGATTGAGGAGTCGAATGCCCAGAACTCTTGAGAGTTGATTAGGTCTTTCCTTCCCCCTTAGGCCGAGAGACGATTGTGGGAGTCGGCCAAAGGGTTGTGCCTTGGGTTTATTCTTGATAAGGTACCAATGGCTTAGAATTCGACTGAGGAGTCAAATGCCCGAAACTCTTGAGAGTTGACTAGGTCTTTCCTTCCCCTAAGGTCGAGAGACGACTGTGGGAGTCGGCCAAAGGGTTGTGTTTTGGGTTTATTCCTGATAAGGTACCAAGGGCTTGGAATTCGACTGAGGAGTCAAATGCGACGAGAAAGTGCACACCGCCAACAAGCTCACCGGAAAACACCAGCGGGTCCCCTTAATCCCCGCTGCATCGCCGTCGCGAGTCCCAAAAGTGTGATAGTTGCCAGGTACGTAGTAGCTCAGTTCTAAACTTCTAGCCGAAGTCGGCGTCAAAGCTAGAGTCCCAGATTTGATCGTCAACCCTAGCCATAATCTCGAAGTTCATGTAAGTGGGATTTGTTGGCAGCGATTTTAGTCCTAGAACCCTAACCTCTACTAAAGATCACTTTATTTATTAAAAACTTAATATAAGATGAAACCTAATTTGTCTTTAAATTTTCATTTTAGTGGTGAAAATTTGTTACCCATATAATAAGTGGGAGGGTAAGAGGCTTTAGTGACGCTAAAAGTAGTAGGCATGCTAAATCTTCTGATGTTCTTTGCTTTTGTTTCAACTTGTTCCCAGTCAGCCCACGTATCAAAAGCTTCTGGCTGTGATAAGAATGAAAAGAAGAGAGAAAACAGATAATTGCAGTATGCCCATGTTATTTATATGGATTTTTCAATATTAGTTCCTTAGATCTTTAATATTTTGATATTAGTCCACAGAATCATTGTTATTGCTGTCAGATCCCCAAAATCATCTATATATCTCGAAATTAGTCCCTCTAGTCTGTTTCTGTTAAAATGAGAGTACAATATTCCATCACTTTGAAGAGGTATTGTGGCGGCGCAGGATGCCTCAACTAGTATGTTAGATGCAGATAGATTTGGGGACGTACTGCAGTCTTAGTTTATCCTTCGTTCACTCATTTTTGTCCCGTCAAATTTTGTAATAACAATTTGGTTTCTGGTTTTGTTCATTGGGCTTGCATAAGTTTCTGTCGTGCTAGGCATTGTTTATGTGAACATATGGTAGATGGAAAATATGTACGGAAGAAATATTACATGTGGATGTTGTTCATTGTAATTTATATGTAGACTATAGATAGATATGCATAGAAGAAATAAAAACTGTTAAGAGGGTCTAACTGCAACTAACAAACTTTACAACATGCTCGTGAGTGGGTTCCTTCTTCACACGATGATGAATATAAGTTGCTTTGCTTGGCCCTTTTATAACCAACATGGCCTTATCACTTGAGCATCACACCACATGAAGATAAATATTTAGTTGTCATCACAAATTCGAAGAAAATGTAAACCAGTCTTTTTCTTTTCGAGAAATACTAAGGCTATGTTTGGTTTGAGAGAAAGAGAGAGAAAAGAAAGTAAAATAGAAAAGAAAATGAGTTTCTACTGTTTGTTTTGAAAGAAAACAAAAAGGAAAAAGAATTTAAATTTCACTGCAGAAAAACCTATATCTATTTTTTTTCTTTCCCCCTTTCTCCCCGCTGCGCTAGTGAAAGCGAGGGAGAGCGACGGAAACGGTCGCCCGACGCGAACCCGACTCTCCTCGTCGCCTTGCTCGTCACCTCCAAAACTCGAGTCCATCTTCTTTCTCTTTCGTCTCCTCGTCCTCTCTTCTCTCTCTCTCTCTCTCTCTCTCTCTCTCTCTCTCTCTCTCGCGATCAAACCCTAGATCGACGCCGACCAAACTAGGGTTTCTCCAATCGAGCTCTCGTCAGCTTGAGATCGCGAACGTTCCCTCGCTCTTCTATGGATCGTTCATCGCCGATCGCGTAACACGGGGGAAGATCCGAGGGTGAGCTTCGATTCATTGTCTGAATTGTTATTTTTGATTTATTTACAGTAACACGGTACGATTCATTGTCTGAATTGATGTTATTTGGTTTACTCGCAATTAGGCTTGTCTTTGGTGATAGCTTTGATCTTTAGCCTAGTTTTAATTGGACCATTATGACTTTATGATGCTTGGTTGATGAGCAAAAGCAAACAATCCAGAGAAGAAAGCTTCACTTGACATCGATCATTGGTTGATGAGCAAAAGCAAACAATCCAGAGAAGAAAGCTTCACTTGACATCGATCACCCCTAGATAAACTTCCAGCAAGCTCTAGCTTGTTCAAAAAAGAGAATGAGACATAGCAGCTAGGTAACCTTGTAAGTCTACAATGTAGTTTAAGGCTTTTCGGAGCTTGCTCAAAAAAGAGAATGAGACATAGCAGCTAGGTAACCTTGTAAGTCTACAATGTAGTTTAAGGCTTTTCGGTTGACAAGGAGCTATAGATAAATCATTGATAAAATCCAAAATCGTTCACATATTCGATCGATAGAGAATGAACAGATTAACTTATCCATTCGAGAGCCTTACACGAACTCTTCTCGCTGCCTTTTTGGGTCACCTTCGTTTTGTTGCTTGATTATTTGCTGAATTATTTAGTAGAAACTTGGATATATCGGGAGATTATAGTTTTGTTGATTTCAAATTGGTTTGACTGGCAGTAGGGTGCAGTTTAGGGTTTTTCAGTATTAGACGAGGAGAGATTCTAAGGCAACAAATAGCCGATGATATGTGGAGAGATTATAAATTACTTAGAAACCATTCACACAACTAATAAATATAAATCATATCAACGATAATACATGTTGATATGACATGTTACTATATGATTAGAAATGTGTAACATGCTCTATCACCCCGAAAAAAAAAGTAATACATCTTTGCAATTTAGCCTCCTGAGGTTTAACTTTTCAACTTTGATAACCAATAGTTCTATTTTGAAAAGATTACATCTTAAAATGAAAAAAAAGAAAAGAAAATCAAAGTTTAAATTTCAAGAATATCAAAGTAAAAAAAAGTGAATGATCAACAAATTTTCTAACCAAATTTTATTTTATTTTTTGAATTTGATAAAAGTGAGGAACAAGCTTAGGCCTTTGAATTATCGTCATCAAAATTTCAAACTAACATAAGTTTGAATTATCGAAGTAGAGCTCAAGCGAGGAAAAGGCTGAAACTTTTAAGGTATTAAAGTGCAAATAAGCTTAAAATACATGTTCTCCCCTGAAAGGATCCTGGCCACTGATTTTATCAGCGAATGAAATCCCAGCCGTTCGACTTTGAATCAAAACAAATTCGTCCGTAAAAATTCTCGTTGTTCCCTCGCTCGCCTCCTCTCGCCGATAACCGCCCGCCGCCGTCGCGCGCCACCGCGATCTTCGTCGTCCCTCTGCCTGAACCAACAAAGATTCCTTCTTTGGGAAATAAACTTGATTGCTCTTCGTAAAACCCTTCCTAAATCCACTGATTGACATTCAAGTTCGTGATATTGGATTAGGGTTTGTTCTTTTCTTATTCAAGCAATGTCTTCCTGTATCGTTTCTTCTAATTTTGTATTTTTTAATCTTTTTTTTTTGTTATTGCTCATCAGATGCCGCTACTCCCAAGCAACGCTCAGGCTCAAAATCAGAATAAAGGTGGCAACTTTACTTCCGGTGATCATAGAACCCAAAATTTACTTGCCAGGTAAATTTGGTAGCTAGTTTTCATTATTAAAGATTAAGCCTTTATGTTGTTATTGATTGTGGTGTTTGTTTGGTGTTGTTGGGTTTAGGAAGCAGTGGATTGCACAGCAGAGGAAGTCTTTGCCCATTGCAGCAGGTAATCTAGCTTTTAGTGCTAATTTTGCTGCAATTTTAGGGTAAATTTCACAAAACGCCACTGAACATTGGGATGATTTGCAATAAACGACCATGTTGAACCTCAAAAATTGGAGAGAAAACTTCCAGAGTTTCATAGAACTCCCTAAACTTTTGAAATTACTCGAGCTTTGGGGAAATTTTCATTCTAGGGTTTGTCAATGTACATAGAATAGAGGGAATAAAAAATTTTGAATTAGGTAGAGGGAGGTTATTTTCTCAAAAATGGTATTAAGTGGGTGGAACTATTTGAGAAGTCACCAGGTGTTGGGGTGAACTCCTCTAGTCTGCGAAGTAACGTTCATAGTTGTTTTGTACAAATCAGCCCAAAGTTCAGGGGGTTTTCTTAAATTTACCCCCTTTTTACATGTTTACTTAGATTTATACTCATACTTATTTTTGTTTTTATGGTTGGTTGTTTTAGTTGAGAAAAGGCTCGTGGACGAAGTGAGGAAGAATGATACTTTGATAATTGTTGGTGAAACAGGAAGCGGAAAAACCACACGTGTGTGAGATGTTCTTTTCGTTCTTTCTTTTAAAATCTCTCTGTTTTATATGATCTCTGGTGAAACATTCTCCAACCAATTAGACTTGCTAATGAAGAATAACTCCTTTTAGAAGAAGAGATGAGCATGGTGCTCGTGTAGATTTTGTTAGCTATCTTGCTTGGAGGTGCACATTGATGTTGTCCTGAAGCATCTCGTCCATATATTTCATTATGTAGAGAAGAAATATACTCTAGTAGTTATGATATCTACTTTTCTGATTAGATATAAATTGATCACTTTATATTGTCCACAGAACTGCCACAGTTTCTATGCAATTCTGGATTTTGTCATGACGGGTTGCTCATTGGTATCACTCAACCCCGGAGAGTTGCGGCTGTTACTGTTGCAAAACGAGTTGCAGAAGAGTGTAATGTAGAGTTAGGCCAGAAGGTTGGATATGCTATCAGATTCGAAGATGTAACTTCTAGCTCCACAAGGATCAAGTACATGACCGATGGTTTGCTAGTAAGGTAATCAAGACCCTCAACTCTGTATATAGACTTTGAATACAAGGTTTATATTTATATCTATGCCTCCGATCTGTTTGACCAAAACAGTTCCAAGAATTGATAAATGGAAGATATTGTTAATGAATTTTTGTCTTTTAACCCAAAGTTTTACCTCACTTATTTAAAAACTCACTCACTTCCATAAACACACATACACCCAAAGTATCCTATATGAATTATTTTTAAACCTAAGATTTAGTATACCCTCAAACTTTATATTGTATCTCCAAAAATAAAAATCCAAAATAGCCCTTTCCTTTCTACTTATAAATAGTGATCATCCTCTCAATCACATTAATGATGATGGCAGGAGAAATTTATTTTTGTGCGCTACTCCATTTACTTTATGGACATTTAGCATATTCATCTTCTTCAAAATCCCTCTTTCCCTCATTTATCTTCCCTAAAAATATCTTTCCTCTGTTAATATTTCTCTTCATAAAAGGCGTTGGTTTGGTTTTCATTTTGCTTCTTTGGTTTTCATGTGATTTCTATTTGCAATCATTAAATATTTCTTCTCTACAGTTTCTCCTACGTTACTGTCACTTTCTGGTGTATTTTTGTTGTGACAGTAGTGGCTATGGTTTTTCCTGTACAAAGCTTGTATATACTCTTGTGTATAGGATGACTTGGGAGGATTGACTCACTCCCATTTCAGGTTTCAAATGACGTTTAAAGGACCTCTCTTTGGTCCATTAAATGTTTCTTTTCTAAAGTCCCAGAACCAACATAGAGCTATATTGTACCAATAAAGCGATACACTTTAGTTGTAGAGAGTTATACTTCTATATATGGTGTTATACTTTTCTCATAAGAATCTTTTCGAATAAAGCGTTATACTTTGTTCAGCCAAAAATTAATAACTATTAAGCTTTCATATTTTTTGTTAATTAGTCCAGTGGATATTAAATCTTTTAATTTTCGAGCAATTTTCTTGACGACATACTACATGCTATTAATTTCTTTCTGTAGTCCCAAAATCAATAAAGAGCTATATTAAACGATAAAGAGATACACTTTAGTCTTAAAGAGCTATACTTCTTTATAAGGTATTATACTTTGCTCCTAAAAGTTATATTATCATATAAAGTGCCATAGTTTGGTTTGCTTTGGTGGAATTTCAGGTATTAACTTCACCTAGGATTTGGGGATCGGCTCTTTGAGTTTAGTGTTTTGTGAAACGAAGGAAGAGAGAAAAAGAGAGAACCGATGAGTTTATTTGTTGAAGAAAGGCAATTTTGGATTTTTGAATTTTTTGGAAACTACAATATAAAGTTAGAGAGTATATTACTAGATGGTTTATAAATAAGTCACAAGGGTACTTTTGGTGTATAGGTATTTATGGAAGTGGGTGGGTTTTTAAATAATTGGTGGTAAAACCTTGGGTTAAAAGACAAAAAACCCTATTGTTAATCATATCTCAAAGTACCTTCTGCATGAACTATGTAAAAGTTTGTATATTCTATTATTCAACTTCATTTGGCTACATTAAGGGGGTGTTTGTTTCAAATCCTATAATTTTAGGATATGGATTTCATCATGGGATTTGAAATCCATAGGTAATTTGTTATGGGTTGGGATTCCTAAAACTTTCTTTGTTTCAACAATATTTTGGGATTCGGAATACTATAATTTGTAATATTTTTGTTTGTTTCAAACTTTTTGGAATTTGAAATCCATAATTTGTATAAAGCTTTTGAAATCCACCCCACATCCCACATGAAAAAGAGGATTTTACAAATCCTTAAATATATTACTTTTTTATTATTTGGGGATTTAATATCCTAAAACTTATTTTGAAACAAACAAGTTTTATGGAATTATAAACCCCAAAAAACCTCTTTTTACATCCCAAAACTTGAAATCCACACCATATCCCCAAAAAAATTGAAACAAACACCCCCTAATAGTATCTTCATGTCCATTTCTTGAGTCATTTATAAATATCAGTGCTCATTTATTTTGGAGGTTTTCTGGACACCTAAATAAGGTCCTTGACATAAAATACTAAATGCAAGAATATGATTGACCTTTATTTGTAATAGTAGTCCAATTTGAATAAATCAAGGTTCCAGTGAATGTATATTGTCCCATTAAAAGGTGCAAGTATGGTGCTTCCCAATTATAGTCCAAGTTGAACCATCTCTGGTCTGATGAATATATATTGTTATTATTTAAGAATGCAAACATGTTATTTCTCTTGGTGTTAAGGTGTTGTAGATACCGTCTCACTTGGATCAAGGCAAGCAACTTTACATTAAATATAGTTTGTGTCTTTAGGGTTTACTTTTTCTTTTGCCAATTCTTGAATACCGAACCATTTGATATGACATTATTGATTCGTCATTCAAGTAATTTTAATGCTGCACGGCATGACATGTTTTGTAAGTTTTCATATAGTATATTTTTGTCTATATTTTTGTATGCAGATTAGTAAAAAATAGTTGCGGATGCTCTTAATTGCAAATACGGAGCCTGATTTGTTGCATTAACATAGTTTTTGAAATTTGAAAGTTCAGGCTTCAAATGATGACTAAAGTTTATATACTTTCAGTTATACTTGTGACGACTAAATCACAGGTTCATGGATTGCAGGGAGGCATTGCTGGATCCATTTCTGTCGAATTATAGTACGATAGTTGTTGATGAAGCTCATGAAAGAACAGTTCACACAGATGTTTTGCTAGGGTTGTTGAAGAAAGTACAACATGAAAGATCACTAATTATTGTTAAGAGGCAAAATCCTTGTCATACGGCTGCTAAAAAGCTAATCATGCCTGATAAAGAAGACAAGACTCAAAGCATCAACAATTTGAAGCCGTATCAGAATGCAAAACTTACACCGTTAAAGTTGATTATAATGTCTGCTAGCCTTGATGCAAGGGGTTTCTCTGAGTACTTTGATGGTGCCAAAGCTGTTCATATTCAAGGAAGACAATATCCTGTAGATGTACTATATACATATCATCCTGAGCCAGATTATCTGGATGCCACTCTTATTACTATTTTTCAGGTATTTATCTTATGGTTGATTACTTTGTTTCTTCCTTTTCTCCCTTTGTTATGTTGGCTTTCCATCTTTTTTGAGTTTGAGAAAAATTTTCATTAAATTAAAACCATATACTGAGCAGGATCTTGTATTTAATAACATATGTTGGATTTTCTTCCTCCAGATATAGTTTAAGAATACATATGGTGCTCTCTAGTTTGTTTTGTCCATTAAGATACAGTTTAAGAATACATGTTAGACCCTTTCCCTCTTGATTTCCTTCAGGTTCACTGGTCAATGAATGTAGTGTTGAATCCTTGGTGATATCTTTCTTTTTACTAGTGTGATATAAAGCTGCTTCATGCACTCCCCTAGCATATTGGCTATCTGAAAGTATTGATTACAAGTTAAATGCTTCAACTTATACAAGAATTATTCCTATCTTTACAGATCCATTTAGGGGAGGGTCCTGGAGATATACTTGCTTTTCTTACAGGACAAGAGGAGATTGAGTCTGTTGAGAGACTGGTTCATGAGCGTGCTCGCCAGTTACCTGAGGGTAGTCAGAAAATTCTGACTGCCCCTATATACTCCTCACTTCCCTCGGAACAACAGATGAATGTGTTTAAGCCAGCCCCATCTGGCAGCCGCAAGGTAAATCTGATTCTCTTTGTACATTTCTACATTTGTGATCGTGTATTTTATCAATTAAGATCACTAAATTTTCTTATAGTTTTAACTATTGATTTATTTTCAAGGCATGTCTTTTTTTACTTGAGAAAATTCGTTCGCAGAGAATACAAATACTGTTAGTAGTAAAAGAAATTACAAAAGATGATTTGTGCAAGATAGAAACCAAAAATAAAAAACTGAACACCATCTCATATACTTAATTGTACTCTCAAAGTTTGAAGTTAAGCATGCAACTATGAATCAGTGGCCAACGTGGAAGAAGAGAACCTCATCATCAACTACTGCAAGAAACTTAATTATGTTGTTTTCTGTCTCATATATGAGTTTGATAAAATTTTCATAAAGGAGAACTTTGTTTGCAGATGCATATTTAGACATGTTATCATTACTAATACTGGCGATAGATGCTACTGTCAGTCTGTGTCTTTATTTTATACATTTACACAAATTTAATAGCTATTGGCTAATTTATTAAACATAAATTCCATTAATGACAGTCTCCTCTTCGTTCTGTTGTACTATAATGATGTGGCAACTATTTTGCGCTTTATTAGGTGATACTCCTAGTTACTTTCATTTTGTGAAGTTATGCTCCTAGTGATGTTCTGTTATAGACTTATAGTTGATGAGGAAAAAATTGAACACAATTCCCTTAGAAAAACTTCCAATCTATTATGTAGAACTCTGCATTTTGTCCTTGATGCATCATTGATGTTCGGAAATGTAGAAGAGTGTAATTTGAATTTATAAATTATTTTGTTTGGTTAACATACATTGTCTTGAGACTTCATGATGCATTGGTCATGTAACTGCAGGTAATTTCCTTTTTCATTTGTGCAGGTCATACTAGCAACAAATATTGCTGAGACTTCAGTGACAATTCCTGGTATCAAGTACGTTATAGATCCTGGATTGGTGAAAGCTCGTTCTTACAACCCAGTTACGGGAATGGAATCATTAATTATCATCCCAACCTCAAAAGCACAGGCTCTTCAAAGGAGGTAATTGTGTGATTGTCACATATGGAGGGTTTTTTTTCCCATGATATTTTTATCCTAGAATACCTGTTAGTTAAGGTAATTGGAAAAGCTTGGTACATGGCTTAAAGTTTGTGATCTATTAGGTGTTTGTTATCAGTGAGCTGATAAGTTTGTGGCTAGCCCTGAACTTACTTGTAATTTTTGTAGCAAAGTATTTTCCTGTGAATCGAGACTTGATGTCAAGCACTGCTATTGGTATAATTTGTCCCATCATTTTGTAGGGTATCAGTCTGTATTCTGCTGCATATCAAACATTGATTATGGTTAATGTTTAAAGAGTGACCATGGTAATGGCATTTTGTTGCTAACCTGTCATATTTTGTGACATTTCCTAAAGAAAGTACAATGTCATCGCAAAGTTTGCAAATGCTAAATGCTGATATATGATTCAACTATATAATTTCACAGACAGATGTGCTAGTTATATATTATGCGTCTGGTGTTTGACTGCACTTATGACATGGGATATATGATCCTTAACTGAATATTTTATGAATATTTCATCCTAAATGTGTGCATAATGCAGTGGACGGGCTGGACGTGAGGGGCCTGGGAAGTGCTTTCGGCTGTACCCAGAAAGTGAGTTTGGCAAACTTATGGATTCCACTGTTCCTGAAATTAAGAGATGCAACCTATCAAACGTTGTATTACAGCTCAAAGCACTTGGGATTAAGGACATCTTCTCCTTTGATTTCATGGAAAAGCCTTCAAGGTTCCCTCATTCTTTTTTTCTTTCGTGCTTTCCAGTTAACTTCTTGTCTGATATACTTGGCTGTGATACAATATCACTAACTGTAATATTTGTTTCCGCAAATAGGTCACTTGTTTAGCTGATGACATTCTGTTTCTAATATTAGAATTTCCTTAATCTTCATATGGATCTGAAACTGTTGACAGGACTGGCATTGTTAAATCTATGGAGCAGTTGTACTTACTAGGGGCTCTAACTGACAGCGGCGAGTTGTCAGATCCAGTCGGGCTTCAAATGGCTCGGCTGCCCTTAGACCCCATATATTCGAAAGCTCTCATCATTGCTCACGAATTTAAATGCTTGGAAGAAATGCTAATAGTAGTTGCTATGCTCTCAGTGGAATCTATTTTTCACTTCCCTCGTGAAAAGATTGAAGAGGTATGTACATGGTATATCCAGATATTTACTTTTGTTCTTGTACAAGATTTCAAAGCAACGGGTTGCATTTTCTCCTGAGTACACTAATGCCAAAACACCAGCCAGGATCGTAGACTCATATGAATTCATATAGCAGTTTTCTCCTTTATTTCAGTTATATCATTAAAAATTAAGGATTCTGGACTAAAATAAATTTTATTATTTATGTTTAGCTATGCACGTGTATAATGATATAAGTGACAGAATTTGATTAAAGTATTAAATGAATGCATATACTGGTTTATGGAGGATTAGTTGTAATTTGTAAACTGTAGTGTCAACCAATGATAGATGAACATTATTACCATTTCTGTAAGTTTTGTTATTGTTGCACTTTTGCTTGTTAAAAGAAGTTGCTTTTTTATTATTTTTATTTTTTTGGTCCTCAGGCAACAGCAGCAAAGAAGAGCTTTTCAAGTACTGAAGGGGACCATATAACCTTGGTGAACGTGTATCGGGCTTCTGCAGAATGCCTGGAGAAGAGTAAAGCTGCAAATAGCAAGGAGAAAACGATGGAGAAAAGCCTCAATAAATGGTGTAGGGATAACTTCATCAATAGTCGGTCTCTTAGGCATGCACGAGATGTTCACAGGTCAATTTTGCTCGCTCCTTTACCTTGAGAAGAACTTTTGGAAACTATCCTGTCATTGCATTATAATTTTGATTTAATATCAAATATTTTCTCATTCTTTTTGTCAAGTTCTCATAATTTTCAAATTCTGGTTTCTGATGCAGGCAAATTAAAGGCCATATGCAGCAGATGGGTCTATCAATATCATCATGTGGTGATGACATGGTTCAGTTTCGGAGGTGCCTTACCGCCTCTTTTTTCCTGAACGCAGCACTGAAGCAACCAGATGGATCATACAGGTTTGAGTTCTTCACTATTTTCATTTCCATACTGCAACCAAATTTTACCGGACCCAACGGAAGATGAGATTACTATGAAATATGGCTGAAGTAAGATAGATTTCAAAAAGCTGCATCACAAGTGGTTAACTCCAACTCTTATTTCAATTGAACTGTTATCTACTTGTTTTGATTACTCCCCTAGGCACAATATGTAGGCATCCTGTTTGGAGAGTATCATGATATATGCCACTTTAGATAACAAACCGAAACTTTTTGTCAAGCCATGAGTTTGAGCTGTTTATCTTTTACTATCCTTAGGGAAGTTTATTGATTTAATTACTTTTTATAAGAAAGTAGATACAGATATCCTTAGGAAGGTTAACATGTTCACCTTCACAATTATCATGTATCTGCAATTTCAGATACAAAGTGTCAACGAGAGGTCCCAGAGACAACAATATCAATTGTTGACTTGCAATGCTATCTCATACACTCTATAGGGGATACCGAAGTACGAAGTAAAAATATAGATGATGATAAAAATAAGAAAAGAAGTTAAAAGAGTGGTTGCAGGGAGTAGTGGAATCTTGAAATTGTTCAAGTGATATGTATATTTCCATCCAAGTGAAGTTGTTCTCACATTAATAACGAGAAATTGTCATATATGTGTCATATCTTAACATGCCTGATATGACAAATGAGTATAAGGACAGGTTGTGCAACAACATCATTAACAACAACAGCGAAGCCTTTGTTGCAAATTCTTGGGGTTGGCTATAAGAATCCTACTCTTCCTTTCAGTTACGGCGGAGGTTATTTCTTCTACTAAGTTAAATGTTGTCATCTCCTTCTCAATAGTTTATACTCAAGTTCTCTTAGGCCTACCTTTAGTCCTTTCTCCATTAATTCAATGAGACAACATTGCGCAAGGGCAGGGTGGTATTTTAACTGCTGGCCACTGTTTTTGTATGTTCATGGCAACCATACAACTTCACGATAATGGGATAATAATATTATATGTGTAACAAAAAACGAGGCAAAAAACCTGATCCTGATAGTTCTGTGACTGCCTTGAACATTCAAAACAGTGGCTATTTTTCATGTCCTTGGGGAGCATCAAACCATATAGCCTCATTAGATTTTTTGCCTCTTTGTAACAACTCGATCTCCTCCTATGATAGGGGGAAAAATTAAGATGTATATATTGAGTAGAGGCTTTATTATAACTTCTTCAATGAATAGAACAATTTTGATTCAAGTTTCACTCCAACGTTAGGTTATTGATTGAATTCTTTTTTTTTCCTTTTTTTTTTCTTTTTTTGACGGGGGCTTGCATGTACTTGTTAATGCCTAGGAGTGCACGTGTTTGAACTGTGTGGATGTCTGTGAACTTATGGCTTTTGCTGACATGGATATTATTGCAACAGGGCTTTATTGAGTGGTCAGAATGTTCAAATCCATCCCTCATCAGTGTTGCGGGCAAAAAAACCAGACTGCATAATCTTCAATGAGCTGATTCGAACTAGTCAAAACTATGTCCGCAATGTAACAAGAATTGATCCGCTGTGGTTACCTGAATTGGCCCCTCAAAGTTTTGCAGAAGATTGATCTTTTTTTTTCTTAAAAGTTCACTTTTTTTATAATTAGCTCTTGTATAATATCCATATTTATGTGCGGCATGATTCAGGAAGTGTATATTACTTTGTTTTCCAAGTGAAAGAGGCCAAAGCCCCTTTTTCCTAAAAAATGCAACGTGCTCAGATCGGAAAGATTCCTTGTATTGTATATCTAAAGCTTTTAATGTAACATTTGATTTTATACATTTTCTGATGAAGGAAATAGCATGTGTATCCATCGCAGGTATGAACCCGAGTGCATACTTTATGAAACGTCTAAGCATCTATCTATAGAATACAGGACAAATTTTTAAAACCAACCGTTTTACACATTTAATTGCAAAAACCGACCTATTTTCATAATAATTGCAAAAACCGACCTGTTTTTAGCCGTGAAGTTTATGGAGAAATTAAACTTCACGGGAGTTCAACTCCCGTGAAGCTTAATTTCTGCTTAAAACTCCACGGGAGTTGAACTCCCGTGGAGTTACAGTCAGCAATTCCAGAGAATCGAGTCTCTGGCAAATTGTGACTGCAACTTCACGGGAGTTCAACTCTCGTGAAGTTGCAGTGGGGCTGTTCCTCGACTTCTTGAGCATTCTGGCCGTAGTCTTTCAAGTAAGTCTTTCCAGACCGAGTGCCAGGGTGATCTCCCGGATATGCTGCCAGGGCAATCCTCTCCTCTTCTGAATCTGTAAGGGTTTTGAGGTGGTCATCATTCTCAGTAACGGAGGGGCTAATCATGTTAGAAGACTTAGCCTTGCCTCCTTTCTTCTTGGACCAGGTATTCGTCCACTGTTGGTCCTCCACTAGATCAGGGTGGACCCACATGATTTCTCCTTTGGAAATTGTGAGGGGTACCAACCCCCTGTCCTTCTGATTGTGTAAGTCGGTGTTTTTCAGGTGCATCTCCCCTTTACGGACTGGGATGACACCGTCTGCAGCAGCTACAGGAGGAAAATCACCGAATTGGACCGCAATCAAGTTAGTAGATACAGTCTTCTGCTCCGGCTTCAGAGTAAGTACATTAGCATTCACCAAATTTTGCAAGATGTCCTTGAACACATAGCATTTTCTGGTAGGATGTCCCAAGAACCTGTGATAGCGACAGTAATTGGGGTCATCTATCTTCCCTGCTTCATCTGGCTTTCTGATTTCGGGGAGCTGCAATTTATTGTTCTTCCGAAGTAGTTGGAACAGAGTGTCCACATGCTCTTCTTTGAACGAATACTGCTTGGGTGCTCTTTGCTGATTGGGCGTCTTGCCTTGCTTAGTAGGCGGTGGGACTTGCGTGTAGTCAGCTGCTAAAGTCTCTTTTCCCTTAGACCGCTGGGCATTGTTCTGATTGCGTTGTTGCTGCGGTTTGGGTTGTGGCTCTTCTTCAGCTTTTATCTGAGCGACAATCTCTTCAGCTTGCTCCCCTTGTGAAACTAGTTGTCTCCAAGAGCGACATTCTGCTACTCCCATCTGGGCGAGGAGCTGAGTCTGCAGGTTGTGCCTGCAAGTTTCAACTAGAGTTGATTGGGTCATACCTGATGGGCATCGCAATGCCATGCTACGGAACCTTTCCACATAGGCTTTAATAGATTCTCCCTTCTTTTGCTTTGTGGCGAGAAGAGTAGGAACCGAAACCTCTGTGTCATCTTCGAAGAATCTGGCCAAGAAAAGCCTTTCCAAATCTACCCACTTCTGGATAGATCCAGCAGGCAGTTTCATAAACCATTCAAAGGCCACCCCTTTAAGAGTGCCGATGAACAAGCGCGTCAGAATGGCATCATTGGCTACCACATCTCCTGTTTGAGACTTGAAGTAGTAGATATGCTGATTTGGTGACCCTGTACCGTCGAAAGGTTGTAGCGTTGGAGCCTTAAACTTTGGTGGGTAGGGAGCCGTATCCCATTCTGCAGGGTAGGGTCGTATCACTCCTTCCTCGCGAAGCTCGCTCCTGTTGGCCATTGCGTTAAGGCGGGCTTCTAGCTCGTCTACTTTGGTTGACTGAGGATACAGTTCTTTTTCCATCTCCTTCTCATTGTCAGAAGAAGAATCTAAGTTGTGAGTCTCACGATCTGAGTGTTCGTGCACCTTCTGCTTTCCTTTTGACGTAGTCCTCCGGGAAGACTCGGGTTTTTGCCCTTTTTCAGCGAGAAATTGGACGAACATATCCTTCAATTGGAGAAGTGTCTCCTGTTGTGCCTGGAGCATGGTATGATGTTCATCCACTCTTTTAGCTATGTCCTCGGGATTCGTCGTCATGTAAACAGAAACTTTTTGTGCTCCAACAGAGCTTGAAGATTGAGATTCAGCTATTGCCGAATGTTCATCACTTGTCGTAATCCCTTGGGCTAACCTTTGGTAATTAACCGGGCGGATAGCTCCAGTCCGTGACCGGGTATGTCGATATACCCCTTCGAACTCGTCGCAAATTTCTCGAACGGTCGGGGAATGGCTTCTTTCTGATTCATCGGAACTGGGACACGGGGCTTTTCCTCTACTGGTCATGTTGATGGTAACCTGAGGGTATTCAGCTTCAGAAACTTTCTTCTTTTGACGTCGTCGTTTGGTAGGTCTTGCGACGTCAGTCAATCTGTCGAATACAGATCTGCGAGGTTCAGGAATACAACAGTGACATTCGGAAAGGACTGTTGAAATAAGCCGTTCGCAATGACATGGATGGGCTGCTCGTTGCGTTGGCTTTTCTCTGGAAAGCAACTCTCGCAAATCTGAGACCCGAGGACAGTTCTTCATCGGGGATGAAACTCCCTGTTCTTGAGTGGGTGAAATTGGTTCTTGTTGAACCTGACGGACCCTATTGCATTCGGGCGTCGAAGCGTGAGGGTCGCGTTTTGATTTATAAACACTAGGCCTTGGCCTGCGTTTAGTTGAAGGAACAGACCCTTTAGGGTCTTGTTTTGTTTGGACGCACTCTTGAGGTGCTTGTTTTCCCTTAACAGGGCTGTGCTTTGATTGGACAACGCACCACTGAGGGTCGCGTTTAAGTTGAATCACCCGAGGTTTGTAATTGGATTCATTACCTCGAAGTGTGCGTTCTGGAGTATGGACGCAATGCTTGTGCAGATCTTCGGAGACGCAATCCTTGCGTTGGACTCGGGATTGATTTTCTCGGAGGTGTGCTCGTCGGATGGACCTTCTTCGTCGTCGAGCAGCGTTTTTCTTGGCTTGTTTCAAAGCCTTAGTATCAGCAACACCGGCGTTGATTGTGCTTATCTCTGTCATAGGCCTTTTACAACCAAGTACACGCTGTGTCGACATAGGCGTGTGATCTTCGGTTTGCAGAGCGAGCTTGAGGCTTTGGCCAAAGGAGAGGACTTTCTTTGGCGTCTCAACAGCAGTTAAGACTTCTTTAGAGCTCTTACAAGCATCTCGCCTAGCCTTAGGGCTGAGCGATCCGGAAGAGAGAGCCTCCTCGTATTTGGCTTGGTCAAATTCCACGACCAAGGTTTCCACGGTTGTTCCAGTGAGGTGAACGTCGGATTGCGCCACCACCTCTTCGTCAGAGAAGCTAGTCCCCAGCGGAGTCGCCATCTTTTGTTTGTGGGAAATTTTGTAATAAAAAGAATATAAGGAAAGAATTGCGTTTGATTTTATTCTCTCTAACTGCTTAGAAAAAGAATGATTACAACTCTCTCAACTCTCGATTACAATTTGGATTCCTAGTTACAAAAGAGAAGAGAATGATCTGGATTCTCCCCTTTGTTTAATTCTGGGTTCTTCACGGTAGCGATGAGATGCCTCCCTCGAATGCTTGCGTCGAGTTTGCTTCTCGTTGACGATCCGAATATCTATACTTCACTGGAACAACTGTCTTGGCCGGTTGATAACTCTTGTCGAGTTTTGTGATTCAGAACAAGTAACAAACTCTAATGATAGAGTTGTTGGAACCGAAAATAATTCGGTTAATAAGCCAAATATCGATGGATTAGAGATCCTCCGTTTGTTGATTTCCCAGACCGTGTAAGGAGTCAATCCTCCTTTTTCTGATTCTGGAAGATTTGATCGAAAGATCCCCCTCCGATTAATGAAAAGAAATCTCTCTTGATCTGATTATCCAAAATCCGATCTCCCCTCTCCAACTCCCCCTATCCAAAAAGAGATTCCTTACTCTGTTGAGTTTGTTGCTATTTATAGGGGGATTAGGGGTGTAACTGCCCCCATAATCCGCGCCTAAATGGGGGTTTAGTTACCCCATTAGTCGGGTGTAACAACCCACTAAAGCCACTCCTCAAATCGTGGGTGAAGAACAGCTTCGAAGTTGTTACGATCACGTTTGAATGAGTCAGAACCTTGACCTGCGTTCTGGCGGTGATTGAGCTGCGTTTGGCAGCGACTGACGGGGTGCGGACAGCTTCGAAGTTGTTACGATCACGTTTGAATGAGTCAGAACCTTGACCTGCGTTCTGGCGGTGATTGAGCTGCGTTTGGCAGCGACTGACGGGCTGCGTTGGGCAATGATGGATGAGTTGCGTCGGCAGCGATTGATAAGCTGCGTTGGGCAGCGATGGATAAGCTGCGTTGGGCAGCGATGGATAAGCTGCGTTGGGCAGCGGTTGATAAGCTGCGTTGGGCAGCGATTGATAAGCTGCGTTGGGCAGCGGTTGATAAGCTGCGTTGGGCAGCGATTGATAAGCTACGTTGGACAGCGATGGATAAGCTGCGTTGGGCAGCGGTTGATAAGCCGCGTTGGGCAGCGGTTGATAAGCTGCGTTGGGCAGCGATTGATAAGCTGCGTTGGGCAGCGATGGAGCTGCGTTCGAGCTGTGCTTGGCAGCGATTGGAGCTGCGTTCTAGCTGTGCTTGGCAGCGATTGGAGTTGCGTTGGGCAGCGATGGAGCTGCGTTCGAGATGTGCTTGGCAGCGATTGGAGCTGCGTTCGAGCTGTGCTTGGCAGCGATTGGAGCTGCGTTCTAGCTGTTGATTGTTGTAGTATTTAGATTTCTCTGTCTTTATATATGGACGACACCAATGACCAATCAATTTTCCTTCGTTTCTTTTACTGCAAATTTTCCACCAAACAAAAGATGGCGACTCCGCTGGGGATAAGCTTCTCTGACGAAGAAGTGGTGGTGCAATCCGACGTTCATCTCACTGGAACAACCGTCGAAACTCTCGTGGTAGAGTTTGATCAAGCCAAGTTTGAGGAGGCTATCTCCTCCGGATCCCTTAGCACCAAGGCTATGCGCAAGATCCACAAAGTCTCCAAAGAGA